AACATTCAATCTTCAGCACACGAGGAGGAGATCGAGTGTTAATATGATTGATTGATTGATAGATAACGTACGCAACCCTCGTGGGCTTATAAGACCACCTGCAGTGGACACACACGTCATTAAGTCTCATTCAATTACAGAATGACAGGTCACTTCACCGCTCGGTCTTAAACTAAATATCCTGCCTTCCCTCTCAGGCCTGCAAATTAAAATCCGCTACAAAAAAGGTTCCTTTCCTGAAGCACAACTCAAGTTTTCCATCCAGCCAACAGAAACCAACAGAAATGGAAGTCCTTTCACTAAAAGAGGACGTAATTAAGTTACAAGGTTTTATTAGTCGTTGTTTGACAGGGTTGCACAACGACATTTAGATTGTAGTCCCAATGTGTTGCATAGGAAAGAAAACTAACAACAACAACAACAAAAGCTATATTATATGTGGAGGATAAGGAGTCTCACAGCCAGAGGAAAGAAGCTGATCTGAAGTCTGGTGGTTTTGTTTTCTGTATCTTTGTCCAGACGGCAGCAGGAAAACATGCCAGTCTCTGGTCCCTAGTCTCTGGTCTCTAGTCTCTGGTCCCTGGTCTCTGGCCTCTAGCCTCTAGTCTCTAGTCTCTGGTCTCTGGTCTCTAGTCTCTGGTCTCTAGTCTCTAGTCTCTGGTCCCTGGTCTCTGGCCTCTAGTCTCTGGTCTCTGGCCTCTAGTCTCTAGTCTCTGGTCTCTGGTCTCTAGTCTCTAGTCTCTAGTCTCTGGTCCCTGGTCTCTGGCCTCTAGTCTCTGGTCTCTGGTCTCTAGTCTCTGGTCTCTCCACGACCTTTTCCTTTCTGACTTTTCAAACAGGAAGTGAAGTCGACGAGTCACTTGACTTGACTGTGAGCTCACAGGTTTGATTCCCACTTGTTTTTTGTTGTTGTTTTTTCCAGAAGTTGAGTATCCACGTCTGATTGGTTGACCTGTTGGTGAGGTCAGGGGTCGAAGGCCATGGCGGGCCGACTCCTCCTCTTCATGTTCTTCTCTGTGACACTCGGCCACGCTCATTTCCCGTCTGGCCAGCGTCTGAAGCCCCGCCTCCAGAGGGACCGCCGCAACATCCGGCCGAACATCATCCTCATCCTGACCGACGACCAGGACCAGGAGCTGGGTGACTGAAACACTCCCATTATTAGTTGTATTATTATTACATTAATAACTATTATTATTATATATCATTATTACCGATACTATTGATACTAATGCTATTACTATTAATAATGCTGATGCTTTTACTGTTGAAACATCGTGAAACAACGTCAGACAACAATTAAGAAGTTTTCTTTCCCTGAAATTTAAATGATCTTTGTTGGATGATCGCAACTGACCCGACGATACGTGTCGCTCAGAGTTTATAACGTAGTAATAGCATCTTTCTCTCTCCGTAGGTTCGATGCAGGCGATGAATAAGACTCGCCGCATCATGGAGGAGGGCGGGACTTCCTTCTCCAACGCTTTCGTGACCACGCCCATGTGCTGTCCGTCACGTTCCAGCATGCTCACTGGGAAGTAAGTCCCTGCAGACAGACAGACAGAGAGACAGA